GTTTGAATCTATATTTTTTATGCCATTTATTATGAGACCCAGCATATCAAAATCATTATAAGAAAAAATTAGTTCGGGGGAAATTATATCAAACGTTCCTCTAAGTGATAAAGAATTTGGATCAAGATCTGGTGTTAGAACTAGAGGCTTTGAAAATGTAAATATGCTGTTTACTTTGCTAACTTGTAACATTTGAGATATGACTGCCTGATTTATAAGATCACATTCAACATTGTCTATAGAAATGTTCAATAATAATTCAACGGGTTCTGGTGAACCATCACCAAATATAGATCTTTTGAATAAATTAGGCTCGGCATTCTTTGATAAAAGCTTTCGTTGTTCTAATTTCACCAAAAAACCATTGATTGTTGAATCAACACTAAGATCCTTTGGTATGTAATTAATTATTTTTTTTAACTCGTCAAAATTATATATGATATTTATTTTATCCATGGAAATAGTTACAAGACCAAGAAATTCTATTGGAGTTTTTTTCCTTCTTCGGCTCATTATGAGTTTACGAGTAAGTGTAGCCATTGAAAAAGTGCGAGACAATCCTAATTTTAAATAAGCATTTCTTAAAGCTTCCTTTGGATCTCGTTTATGGGTTTTTTTTGGCAAGGAATTTTTTAAAGAGTTTAATAAACGCAAGAGCGAATCAATGTTTAAATCTATTTCAGTGAAATTAGCACCAATTTCGAAAGATAAAAGAGATGTGCATGTTGGTGATAAATGACTAGAAATAGTTATTGAAGAAAGATAAGGAAAAACAATTGCTGGGTAATTCATTGATTTGACATGTTGAATTGATAAATTTAAACAGGCCAAAGTTATTCTAAGAAATTTTTTAGAAAACAGATGATGATGATTCCTAATTGAATGAATTTCTTGTTCATTATTTTTAGTGTTGTTATTATTGTTATTACTATTATTACTTTTTACGTCAACATCTGCAAATAATGCAGCACCTAATGAAATATCATTCAATTCAAACTGTCCCAAATCTTCGGCCGATATATTTATTTTGCTGATATATATATCAAAATAATTTGACAAAGCTGCTATGACAAATTGTAATGGAATCGCAGATATTTTTGCTATTGTAAATTTCACAATCCAAACCGAAGACCACCAAGCATTTTGAGGAACAGAAGAAATCAAGCTAGGTTTTCTTCTATGTGAATTTACTTGTGTGAAGAATTTTATGGATGATAATTTAATTTTGAGATCGTTGATGGTCAATGTTATCCATGTTTTACGACCAGAATGAGGACGTCTTATATGTAAATGAATTTTATTTGTAGAAGCCTTGAAAGTGTGTTGATTTGGTCCAGAGGCAATGTTGGAATATTCAATGTCGTTAATTGATAGAAAACCAATTGAACCAACATGGAGTTTATACTTTCTTTCAACAAGTAATTTC